AAAGTTAAATGAATCACATCAAAAATTTAGAAGCCCATGCGCGGTTGGGCAACAGTTACAGCTACAGCTGGATGATCCAAAAACAACGACGACCATATTGCCGGATTCTCAAGAATTTGAATATATGTCTGCCTATACATATATGTATATGGAAATGGCCTATAACATGTAGCTGCTTCTTCTGTCTATATGAAACTGTTTAACATAGAATAAGATAGAACTTTGCATATGATTTATGATTTTCTATCGCGATATTTTGATTATGTTTCTCAAATTATGTCAGATATGTTAGACGAAACTTGGGACTAACTGCTGCTGAATGTAAAAGAAGTTAGAGGAACTTATACATAAGGATGCACTGTTTCATAGCTTCGATATTGGAAACGTTGCGTAAGTGGATGACAAAGTTTTGGCAGTGTTTCACAAATTGAAACTGACAGAGAGCAGTTCATATTTCGATAAGGATTTCGAATGTGCAACAAAAATATTTGTTGCCACCGCTGCTGTCCACGTTTGTTGCTATACAATGCATAGAGGAATAGAAGCCGGCAGAGGCAGAGGCAGAGGCAAAAGAAAAACTGTTTCGGCGTGTACATTTCAAAAGAGAAACGCAGCGGAGTTCTTTGTAAACGTGTTTAAAACTAGAGCTCAATGCGAGCCATACAAACACAATGTCTGGCATTGTGTTGAGAGTCAGGCGCAAAAAAGTGATGGAAGAGGGCGCTGTGGAGTGGGAGTGGGAAGCGGAACCGGGGTAGCATTAGGAGTCGTAGCAGTAGCTGTAGCTCGCTAAGAGAACGACACTGTGCGCACTTTTGTGCGTTTTGCATGAGTGCCAAAGAATCGAGAGGAGTCCCTGACTAGAATACGAACTATGTGAGCTACGTGCACCTCGCCCATGTGAAACAATGCGAGCAAACAATGTAGAGCCGACAAAAACCTCGGGCAAATAGCCATACACCCTAGACACACGCACACACACACACACACACACATACATACACACACAGAATGGCAATAACAATGGACAAGTCCTAGTGCTAGTAAATATGCAGTCCAAGTATGTCTGTGAGTAAACACTGGGAAAGTGAACCTGAACCTCACGTCCTCGTTTTCTCGCTGTGCCCTTTCAAAAGTTTATTCCGTTATCTGCATCAGATGTCAGAGCAAGTGGAGGATGCTTCAAGTTTGATGATGAGCAGCCAGCCGAAAATGCAAGCATCTATTATGTATGCATGTGTGGGGGCTAGGCCATACGAGTTACTGTTAATTGAATTACGGTTTCTGAGAACAAATTGAAAACTGAAAAATGTAAAGAAACATATCCCTTCTTATATATTGATTTACTTATTTTCCTTTGGAAAGTACATATTTCAATATTTATTGGGAAACGCATTTAAAGCAAGCTTGTATTAATTATACTTTAATTGAAAAGAGAAAGAGGGAGAGAATGCTTTCTTATATGAAACTGTTATTAATGATCATTTTATTATAATATACATATTTAGAGACAGTCAAATATTCTGGAAAAAAAAAGAAATTATAATTGAAACATGCAATTACATATAATTTTGTGTTTTATTTCAATCATAATAATAATATAATAATATCTATATGTAGGTATGTACATATGTAGTTATATATACAGTCGCTCTATGTAAAGGCAAGTTTACAATTTGAACATATACCTTTCCCCTTGTTAGATATGCACTAAAGTTAGTTGTTCTGATTTCATGCTTAGCACATTATCGTATATTATCGAGGCTTCTGATATTGTCATCGGTGATCAGGGAAAGCATCAATCAAATTACATGGCCAGTCCGATTAGTCCTATCTGTGCAAGCAAATGTTGGGCCACAATATCGCCTATCAATCCTAATAGCAGCTGTCGCAGCAGCGTTATCATCGAATCATGCCCCCGAGAGTTCGATGTCAATATGTAAGCATTTCTATTAGCCGGCTATCTGAAGTTATCCTAACCATTACGAAAAACCCGCCCCGTCCTCAAGGAACTCAGTTGCCGGTTCATTTGGGCAAAAGCTTTCCATTTCTTTCTTGCTTTTCCCTCTATTATTATTATTTTTTCTTTTGGCTACCCCATATCCTTTTTCCGTTTGACCTAGACATGTGTAAGTAAGCACACGAGCTGGAGTGAGTGTGTGCATGTGCATGTGTTACATAAGTATTTGTGCTCTGTTTGCAAAATACGCACATTTTTACCCAATTGACATTTCAGCTAAAAGTCTTTGCTAACAGCGGCACGGAAGTGCTGGGCGGGTCTGAAACCGAATCGAAGCAGAAACCTTTCCCAGTTTCCTGTTTCTCGATTGTTGGTTGTTGGCCTGCCTTCCCACCGGCAAACGACCAACAAACAAAGGTGGCCCTTCTGCTCTGCTTCTGTATGTGTTTCTATGTTTCCTCTCTCTCTCTCTCGCACCATTTCTTTGCCTCTCTTTCTGTTTCCTGGCATTTCGCTAATGGTGTGTGCGCTATAAAGCCGGCTAATGCCCCTTAGAACCCTTTCACTCTGCCTTCGCTCATTCTCTCTCTCTTCCTCCCTCTGTCACTCTCACTCTCTATGGCTCTCTATGGCCCTATAATTGCTGTCCTTCGTTTGGGCATGCGAAAAAATAAGTTGTAAGTATTGAACACCGCCTACCCTCGGTGCCCTTTATAAAAGGCAACAATGGTTCAGCAAAGCAGAGGCCCTCAAAGGCTTTAGAGAGCACAACAAAAAAGGAAAATAATTGAATGGAAAAGTAACAGTTTGCTGCATTTATATATATGTATATATGTTATATATATACAAAGATGTATGTAGCTCGTCTGATGGATGGATGGCGAGCTAGAGCTGCTTAGGATCCTTCGAACGAAACCCCGGCGAGTGCTGTCATGGCCAATGATGTGTATGCTACAATAATTGTGGGTTTTCCGCAGACAGGCGACAATTGAAACGGTTAATTGTCAACTCTGTTTGGCAAACAGCAGCAATTGAAATTTGACACATTGTTAATCATGGGCGTTTTTTTAGGGAATTTTCAAATATGTCTACTGAGGAGCATTAAATACTTTCAAACAGTCTTTGATTGTAGTGCAAATCGTATGATATTCGTTTATACAAATATGTGTATAACATATATAAATATTATTCTAGACAAACCAATTCTCGGAATAAGGGTGTTGTTTCTAATTTGACTAAAGCCTCTTTAAACATGTTGACCAAGGCCCCAACGGCAATCAGGGAAACTCAATTACGAGTAGCTGCCAAAAAACCGTAGTAGATAAGGGGCCGCAAACCAAGAGGCAAGAAACCGGCACTACGGACAGTACCAAGACGTAACGCAACAGTTAAATGGGTCATTTGGTCTATTTATCATTTTTGACTGGGCCTGTTTTGAGCAGCAGTTGGTCATTCAATTTGTGCGCTGTAACTGGCAGCAATCAATCAAAATGCGCAAATCGCAAAAAACAAAAATAAAGAAAAGGGGGGAAAAAGGGAAAGGCACAAATAGACCGGATCAGGGCATGGCTATCAACCCTTTTGTTTGTTGGGTACTACAATCTAAACACGTGAAATTGGGTAATCGTTTGTGCTTCCAAACAGGACTGACAGGACAGAGTCAATTCAGGAACAGCTCAAACTTGTAAGTCCTTAAATCGATACGGGCAAGACAAATGGACCCATTTGCCGGCAGCTGGCCCCGCAGCCATTAAAATGTATGTATATATTCGCCTGCCAAATAAATAAATTTGCGTCCATTGGATGCTGTAACTCAATTGAAAAATGCCATTCTAATCGAAGCATTGATAAGAATATGAAAATATTAAATAAATTGTATATGCAGATATCTCAGGGTTTACATGAAAAGTGACTCTGATTGGCAATCGTTAACCTGTAATTCCATTGCATCTCTCTTTCACTCTCCCTCACTCTCTATCATGTACATTAAAAATGAGTAACATTGATTCAAATGTATTTTTAGCAATAGAGGATATATATATATACCATTGCGTCTTCATTTAGCTCAAGTGATTTACACTTTTTGTGTGGGTTGCATGAATATTGCATTGCAATTTAAAAGCATTCTGTAAGTTTCAATCGTAACATTTCCATCATAGCCATCATTATTATCATTGCCATTCTTATTCCAATTGTTATTCTCATCATGTTGTTTCAACGTTTTGAATTACAAATTTATGCACCAAGTTCTGTCTAGTTGTAACTTTGCTGCTCCTCGCCTTCATTTATGAAAATACCAAATGCGAAATGCAAACTTCAACAATTTTTGTGGTTTTCCATGGAATTTTATTTTCCCTCCGACCAAAATGAACGGAAAACAAAAATATCTATGATTTCAATTTATACTAACTGCAATTATAAAACTTTCTAGCAACGAAAATAAAAAGTAGCTGAATATGAGATTCTAAGAATTTATGAAGCGCCATAAAAAAGGCCAGAAAATTTGAGGGATACCTTAAATCTGTATAGAAAGGTTTTTGCTGACTTTTTCTTTACTTTTGTTAAAACATATTTACCTATTAGGGAAATCAATTAAAGGCAACTGTGATAGGTTCGAATATTTGCTGGTTGAAATCGCTGTTAATCCACGCCAATTAAGGTCTAAAAAAACTGAAACTAAACACCATCTCGTTAATGGAGGGCAGTTGCCTTGTTTAATCTACGCAATTCGATTAGGAGTTGGAATGGAAGAGTAGATTTAAACTGAAGCTGAAACTAAGAGGAAATATTGAACTTAAGATCCATTTTATTTTATGAGAAACTATATACACAGAAGCCTTTGATATGTAAATATATAGATACATCAGCTTTTTCATCAACTTGGATATTAAACTCAACCCCTCGCTCATCGTAATAGTTCAATTTGCGTTCTTTCTATTTGGTCAACCAAAGCGTATATGAAGCGTGAATATGAACTTAACGCTAAATAGAGCAAACCGCAGTCAACTGTTATCCATTTGCCAAATTGACGAGCATTTGCTTTCATATCTACATATATATTTTATTTTAACACGACGACGAGGCGGCGCCTTGTGGAAAGAGTGAACAAATATTAAGCTCGAAGGACACAAATAGCATTTAGATGTTGGCGATTTTGAGTCCCATGCTCTAAACGATATTATAGTTGTTAGAAACAGCACGAACAGCCAAATATCAAAGGCTCAACCCAAGGCAATTTTCTGTGGATCAGGTGAAAAGTTGAGAATCATTTTGTTACAGATAGAAAAAGCTAACTTGACTCGATGATCCCTTCTGTTTCCTGACAGAATGACCCTCGACTTGTTTCTTCGATTTTTTGCCACATTTTGGCGGCTTTGGTCTGTCATATAAACAGTTGTAAATGTTGCAGAAAATTGTCAAAATGATGCCCATGATTAGGATTAGGCCAATGCGCACAAGCCAAGTGGCATGCTCGTAGTCCGCATTGAACCAGGAGGCTCGGTAGACCTGATCTATGGCTTGTATGTAGCGTACGTGGGCTCGTATGAGCAGGCCATTCGGATGCTGCCAGAAGGGCATTGGATCTATTTCCTGCCATTTGAAGCTCGCCAGCTCGTGCAGCTCCTGAATGCTTTGGCCTGTTGGCAGCTTCCGGAATACGCCATTCTTAACATGCAAAATGGTGGGCAGCTCATGCAGGGAAAAGCGCCTGATCACGGTTTCCGAGTACTCCAGTTTCATACTGGCAACAGTCATGTCGCTCTGCTCCAGCTGCTTCTCGTGAGCGAACTTGCTCCACACACGCTCAAACTTAATGCAGGCCATTATCAGCGGCACACAGAAGCCGATCATCCATTCGCCCTCGAGCGTCAGTTCCCACGAGCTCTCATCCAATATAAATTTCTCGTTCCTTGGATTCTCGCTCCACACGCAATGCTGCAGCTCGCCAGCAACGCCGCAGGCTACCAACAGGGCAGCTAAGCACAACGTGTTTGGCCAGATTTCCATGTTATTCGGTTAGTCAAAAAGATGTGATAATTCAAAAAAATTAAATTAAATAAACTGTATTATATATGTATGTATATACATATGTAATATGTGAAGCAGGAGGAAGAAAGTGAGTTTGCAAGGCCTCCTCATTACAGAAAGGGATGACAGGTGCTCAATGCTCGAACTTTCCTAACCACAAACAAATTGTTGTTAGTTGTATTGATTAATATTATTTTATTTATTGATTTATATTTAATATTTTCATATTTAGTCAAATTCAAAAGATCATTTTCTCTATGGAGATATAAAAGTATAGTCTACTATTCATTCTTATTTTCTTTATTTCTTTTATATATATATATATATATATATATATATGTGGCTTTTTACAGCTTTGAATTATTATTTATTATATTATTTTCTTTACTCATAGTACTTGAAATTCAAAATGCATGATGATGATAAGATAAAAGAGTAGGAAACCAAATGAACTAGAAATAGACTCGACATCAAAAAAGCTTTGAGCTTTATGAATCCTGAAATATTAAGAATGAATAGAATCGGGTCGAGGGCACCTTATAACACCTCAAACAGTGCGAGCGCGCCTATTAGGGATTTGGGATTTCAGAGGGATTCGGAAATGAGATTTCTAAGGTGAATTTATGGGATGGTGCTGCTATCTTTAGCTGTATAGGGATACGTACGCATGGCTGAGCAACTGGAGAGCAAATGACTATTCGATGCGCTGGCAACCTGCGGCCAGGTAGCGCGAGGCCAAATTGCTGCCACAGAGACCCATGTCAATGGCGACCTGAGACCTGCTCTCTGCGCCCTGATCTCTGACCCAAGGCCCAGTTGCATTGTCTGAAAAACGCTTCGCATTTTCAATATATAGGTATTGTCAGTATTATGATGGATTTTCTGCACATGCCAGAGTTAGGGTCCTATTTGTCTCTAGATTTTCCCACGGTCGCAGAAGCGCGCTAAACCTGCAGCCATCACCTGTGTCCTTTCACGTTAAGGATACCTACAATTTTCGGATAGTCCGTGACCATTTGCAGCGCTTAAGGCAACCAAAAGAAGGTAAATACTTATATTTAATTTCTTCAAATATTCCCAGACATTCACGCGCGCTTTTCATGCTCTCTATGCCTCTTGGTCCGTCGGATTCGATCTTCCTACTCTGAACTTAGAATATATTAGTTTATTTTTCTACTCATTGAAGAAGGAGAATTCAGTATATTAATTTTAAGCAAGGTGCGTCTCGATTAACCCATTAGGGGAGTGAATATGAATGTGCAACTTGGTTTTTTAATATATCTAATAAGAATGCGCGACAGACTCTATAAAGTATGTCCCCAAAATCAGAGATGTCGTTTACATATTTAGCAAATAAGCAAAGAAAAATTAAAGATATATTTAGGGCCCAGGGTATCTTCTAGTTGGACAATCCAAATTACTTTATGTTAGAGGATATCCTTTTTGTTGCAACTTATTCCACGTTGACTGTTGATTATTCCGTCTTTCTAAAAAAAGAAAGCAATAATAATAGGTGTCGACGCCGCATTTTCATGTCAAAAAAACATTCGTAGGTCAAATAAATTTACCAAGGACAACAAAACACGGCCAAATTTTCATAGTGAAGCGCAAATACCAGCACTAATTAAATATAATATTGCCTTCTCATGGTAGAGTCGTGTATACTGTTAGGAATATTCTGTATAAAATATTAGAAAAACAAATTATTATAGGGATTATTGCCGAATATACAGATACCGTGTAAAATATTTCAAATTTATTCTGATATATGTGACATATGATTGAAAAGAAAATTCAAAAGGTATTCAACATAGTTATTTTTCATAATACTTTCTTTTAAATTAATATTTATTAATATTAATAAGAAATTAAATTCTGTGAGTTGTAAGAAACCCTGTCCAATTATCCATGTGTCACAGAACTATGGGAAATAATAGGTCCATCTTAATTTAGTGCTTGTATATACCCATTAGGCAGGCAACCATTCTGAGCGAGCATCAAGTAAAATATCGCCCCATTAGTGGCGTAAATTATATTCACTGCTGAAAACAAATGAATGAATGTGAAGCACGTGAGTTTGGCAAATAATGTTATTTCAGATAGGCATGCCGCAAACGCGTATTTTGGCTTCGTTTTAATTAAAGCGGAACCCAAAGCCATGCACCACGCACTACGCACCACGCACCACGCACCGCACAGACCGGATGTCGCAAGGATGGCCGCCGCTGGGGAAACTGGTGAGCTGTACTAAAGGAAAATAAAGATTACAGATCCAATTCAAGAAAAATTGGCCATCTATTGCACTTAATAATGCCAGCACAAACAGAACCAAGAAAACCATTTCGATTCAATTCTGTAGTTCTCTGTAGCTTTCGATAGACTGCTGCACTACTCCGATGTAAGCGATACTATTTAAGGAATCGAAATTCGTTATACTTATGTGACTTTGCATAGCAAATTGCAGGCTTGAGAAAAATTAGTAGCGTTTCAAAATTATTCTGGAATGTATGCATATGTAGACGCCGAATTAAGCCGAAACCGATAGCTTGTGCCTCAGGAGCTATAAAGACGAGCTTTTTCCCTCCTTTTGCCAGTTACAGTACAATATCTTTGAAAATGAGAGTTTTATTTGTAGTTCTACTTTTTGCAATTTTTACTACCGTAACTCATACTAAAAAAAATCCGCATTTGAAATTGACTGATGCCAAGCAACATCATCATCAAAGTCGTCCTCTTAGGAAACAATTCCATACCGATCAATCCAAACTCGATTATGTCAGCTTTTTGCACTTCCCTTCCAAAATACGTCATCATCTAAGTAGATTTAAACCACCAATACAACCACACAAAAAATATAGAAAATCAACTCAAAAAGCAAAACGGCGAAAAACAAAGAAAACTTCAACAAGAACCACAACTATATACAAACTAATAACAAAAAAACAAAAAAGGAAAAGGAGAAAGAAGAGGAAAAGACCGTCACTGTCAGTAGCAATCAATATTAAGATTCCGAATTATTGTAGAAGGTTTTAGGTAATTAAAAAACATTAAAGCTATTTAATCAATTACCTGTCGAAATAACAATAATAATATATATGTATGAATATCTTGTATTTATCTTCAATTCATTTGCATTTACAGTTATGTTTGACTGTGTGTGATCCCATTACAGATTATTCAGCTCAAACTGTTGAGACAAAAACTATAACTGATGTATACGATACAACTGATGCTAATACAACAAAATCCATGATAACTTCGACAAAGTCATTATATGATGCTTTGGAAACTGAAGAACTGTTTTCAAATAAAAAATATATAAAAACAAAAATAAAATATGAATCGAATTCTAAAACAACAAATTCATAGTTGAGCAATTGGATACACAAATACGCATTTACATACCTATTGTATGTACTAAATTAAATCATAAGTTGGAGCTCATCATTTTGACCAATCAGCAGAATCCACTATGCAGCTAAGGATCCGAGTCAGTTCAAATTACGATTTATCATGCATCCAAAAGGACGTAAACAATATTTGTTGGTCATCGATAGATATATAGTAGGTAAATTATCCATCTAAGTTTGCTCTAGTTTGCAAATGCTCTACAGTTAAGGTCTCTAGCTTCAAGAGTATCAATATGATTTGCGTTCGTACAGATAGGCGGACAGAGGAACGGACATAGCATACCACCGAAGTTCCTAGTTCATTTCGAAATTGAGAGTCTTTCTACAAGGTAATGCAGCTCAAGAAAACCATTTCGATTCAATGCTGTAGCTCTCTGTAGCTTTCGATAGACTTCTGCACAACTCTGATGTAAGCGATACTATTTAAGGTATCGAAATTTGTTATACTTATGTGACTTTGCATAGCAAATTGGAGGTTTGAGAGAAAATACTAGCGTTTCTAAATTAGTTGTGTGTCATTTTCTCAGGTGTTAACCACATCTAATCCAAATTAAGCCGAAACCGATATCATATGCCTATAAGCTATAAAATCGAGCTTTTCCCCCCTTTTGCCAGTTACAGTACAATATCTTTTAAAATGAGGGTTTTATTTGTAGTTCTACTTTTTTCAATTTTTACTACCGTAACTCATAGTAAAACAAGTAAGAAAACTCTAGTCGAGACTGCTCGACTAGGAGATACCCTGAATCCTCCAATCAGATATTCGGCTCACTCTACACTTCTTTTAGGCACACATACATAAACACGCACGAAGTAGAACTCGCTCTGCCAACTGCGCAGTAAGCAGCGACTGCGCTTGGGCTGCGCTGCAGTGTGGGCAATATGAGAATTTATTTGTTGAATAATTTAATTTCTAGACGTACGATCCTAATTAAACTTTCAGAACGTAAACATAATGTTTGAATGTGTGTATATTCCAAAGCACAAGTCTCTAGTACTTGAAATGCGCCTTTTACAAAAGTGAAGGAGAGGGGGTGAATTTAGGGCTGGGGGTAAATTTTAACAAATACCTAAATACACAAAAGTCTACATTTAAAATTTAGAAGCTCTAGCTCTAAAGGTGTAGGCGCTATAATTAAATAACTAGCTTTTGATAAGGTTTTTAATCGATAATAAAATATCGGAAGAAGTTATCGATTTTTAGTGATAAACTTGATATGCGCGTGATATACACGGACTTAGGAAAAAAAATTTCAAGTCTCTAGCTCTATCTTCTGAGAGCGACGCGTTCATACATACGGACGGACGGACAGACAGACGGACAGGGCTATATCGACTCAGCT